ATATATACTATGTTTTTATTGCTTTTTAGAGAGAGAGGAAGGGGGATGGCTAGAGAGATAGAAATATCAGTGATGAGAGAGAATCATTGATTGTCCGCCTCCTGCATGCCTTCCCACCAGCGATCAAGTCTAAAACCTGGGCATGTGACCTGACTGGGAATCAGCCATGACTTCCCAGTTCTTAGGTTGATGGTCAACCACTGAGCAACACTGGCCTGGCATCAAAGATATTTTTTCCATTGATTTTTAGTGTGGGAAACCGCCTATTGTCTTCACTAGCAGAGAGGTGTGGACAAGGAATAAAATCAGGCTGGTGACCCCTGAAGCCCTAGCAAAGATCAGAGCCCTGCACCCACTGTTAATCCAGACAATGGTAGCTGAAGCAACTTCCCCACCAGACAGTGGGAGGCCTGAGCACCAGTGGAAGTCCTTCCTCTTGAGTTTGACTTACCCGCCTGGCCCCCCAATATTTCCAAATTATCTCTTGTCTCTTCTCTTTCATTTGTGTGCGGCTCCTCTTCCAGATCCTGAACCCTGAACCACGCGGGACGTGGAGGGAAACATTTACAACATTTTAGAGAGAGTGGAAGGGAGGGAAGATGGAGGAGGAGGAGGAGAGCGGGAGGGAGGAGAGAAACATTGATGTGAGGAAGACACATTGATTTGTTGCCTCTCGCTCACACCTCAACGAGGACCAGGGTTTGAATCTGCAACCCAGGTACATGATCTTGACTGGGAATGAAACACTGAACCCTTTGGTGCACAGGCTGATGCTCTAACCAGGGACTTATCTTAAACTTTTTATGAAATTGCTAAACTGTTTTTCAAAGTGGTTATATCATTTTATAATCTCACCAACAGTGAATGAGAATTTCAGTTACTCCATGTCCTTGTCAACACTTGTTTGGTCAGTCTTTCAAATTTTAGCCATTCTGTCAGACGTGAACTGGTATCTCATTGTGATTTTAATTTACTTTTCCCGAATGGTTAGTGATGTTAGCATCCTTCCTGTGCTTGTTTGCATCAGTACATCTTCATTGGTGAAGTGTCTGTTTAAATCTTCTGCCTATTTAAAAAAAAATGGGTTGTTCTTTTCAGTAACGGGTTCAATTCTTAATATAGTCTAGATACAAGTCCTTTATCAGATATATACTTTGCTAATTTTTCTCTCAATTAGTGCTTTTTCATTTCATTCTTCTAACATGTCTTTCTTTTTAAAATTTTTATTGATTTCAGAGAAAAAGGGAGAGGGAGAGAGAGATAGAAACATCAATGATGAGAGAGAATCATTGATCAGCTGCCTCCTGCATGCCCCACTGGGGACTGAGCCTGCAACCTGGGCATGTGCCCTTGACTGGAATCAAACCCAGGACCCTTCAGTCCACAGGCTGAGGTTCTACCCACTGAGCAAAACTGGCTAGGGCATAACATGTCTTTCAAAGAGTAGAAAATTTTAATTTTGATGATGAATTTTGAAAGTCATAACTGGTTCTAGAGGCTAGCCACCACTAGAAGAGAAGCCAGTTTCTGAATGAAAAAATCAGAACTAAATAATTCAGGAAGTATCTGGTGTGGTGAAGTCTCGCCACCAACCACAGATCAGGGAACAGGTAGCATAGCTGTTTTTATGGAAGAGGGAACATATAAAACCTGTGTCAAGACCAGAGACCATAACCCCAACCCTCTTCAGCTGCCTCATATTGTTTGGTGTTAACCTTGGTAGATAAGTTATAAGAAATTAGAGAATTTACATGCTTAAACAGCGGTTTAGAAATTTAAAACGTCTGAAAACACTCCTAGCATTTGGCTTATATAATTGAGGATGACCATAAAATAAGCCACTGTATTAGTTTGCTGGTGCTGCCAAAAGCAATATCACAAACAACAGATATTTATTTTCTCATAATTATGGAGGCTATAAATCCAAAATTAAGGTGTCAACAGGGTTACTTCTTGGCTTGTAGATGACTATATTCACATTAACATTGTCTTTTGTGTATATTTGTATATTAATCTCTTTGTATAAAGACACCAATCATATAGCATTAGAGGTCACCTTAATGATCTCGTTTATCCTTAATTACTTCTTTAAAGACGGTATCTCCAGTCACATTCTTAAGTATTCTTCTCTCTGGTGGTTCAAACTGCATGACATTGGCCATAGTCTACCTCACTGATAGGTAAGCCTTCCGAGAAAAAGCCTCTTTGTGAATGGTGAGTCATTCTCCCCTCTTGTTAGTTATTGATCCCTGAAGAAGTTAAGCAACACCTTACCTGGCTGAGGAAAGAAGATAATAATAGTACTTGCCTTATAATGTTATTGTGGGGCATTAAAGAGATAATGAACGACCTTAGAACAGTGCATTACACTTAGTAAGGGATCAAAAATGTTAGCTACTGTCATTTATTCATTAAATACATACTGAATTCTGGCTTTGAACTAAGTAAGCAGTGTGCAGAGTGACATGGCAGAGCCAAAGCTGGATAAGTCATGGATACAGAATCAAAGAAATGTTAATATATCAATAGTATTAATAGCTACCATTTATTGAACACCTCCTTTGAGTCAGCTTCTATGCTAGGAGCCTTATATTTATCATTTTGTTTATTCTTCAAAAAGATCTTGTTAAATAGGTCTTACTTGTCCCATTTTTATAGATGAGGAAACTGAGACTCCTTGGGGTAAGTGAAATACCATAAATCAGCTAGTTAGTCATGCATATGAAATTTATACTAGACCCACCTGATGTCTACATTTCTCCTTTCTCTGTGAGTTTATGACCATGGAAGAGATAATGTACAGGTATTAAAAAGCATACTACCAAGTGAACAATGCTGTGTGGCTTAGGAGAGATATTGATAAATAGGAAGAGATTTTTTTCCCTTTGGTGTTTTAGGGAAAACCCATAGGACAGATATAATTTGGACTGAATTTGCATGTGTGGAATTGGCAGGGCTGGGAGTGTGGTGGTGGGTGGGAATGCTCCTGGCTATAAGAACAACAACAACAACAAAAAGAGAGAGAGAAAAGAAAAAAACCATACAACAGGAAACTGTGGTTTTTAATTGAGGAACAAGGGGGAGTTTGGTTTGACTAGAATTATGAGGGAAACCCTCATCAGCTCTGGCTTGAACCATTGCCTCTTTGTTCTCCCTCTAACTTGCTCTCTGTCCCTTCCTTCAGTAGACTTGACCCCCACTGTCTTGTCTACATTATTGGGAGGTAGATGATCTTTCTAAATCTGATCATGTTGCTCCCCTGGACAAAATTCTTCAATGTTTCTCCATCACCAACATGATAAACATCTAAACTTTAGAGCCTTCCTGATATGGTTCCTGCTCAAAACCACTTTGATTTAGTAGCCAGGAGTTAAACCAGGCACTCAAAACCTGCTTACTGGCAGACTGTGGGTCCCTGGAAGAGGAGGAGTTTGGGCTTTTTTAGAGAATCCCTCCCTAGATCCCTGGTTCCTGCATCTGGCTGGGTGTCAGCATCAGAGGAACTAGTTAAACATCCATTCCTGATGCCATTTCAATCTCACTCACCCCAAATTTGGGGTGGATGGGAGCGAAGCAGGAGAGCATGAGGCCCAGGAATTTGAATTCTATTAAGTGTCTAAGACTTAGACTCTAAGTGATTCTGACATTCAGACAGGTAGCTGAAACATTCGATATAAATCTCTTCCAGGGTAAGCAAAGGGTGAAGGGAGATGTTCACATTGGTAGAGATTGAGGGGAGGGAGAAGGAACCCCCAGGCTTTGCTTAGTCTGAGTCTGACCTTCATGGTTATCTAATGCATTTTTACTTTTACATTTGTTTATTGCTGTTGTTGTTCTTGTTTGTTTTTTTTTAATACAGAATTTTATTTAGAACCTGCTTAAAGTAGAAAAAAAATCCTGTCAAGAAAGACCAAATGGGAAAATGGGTTCCTAATAAAATCAAAAAAGTATAAAAGACCACAAAGGAGAAACAACACCACTGTTATTTGAAGGATAGCTAGTTACATGCATTTTTGGCATTGCTAATCACTGAATCTGGGTTTTCCTCAAATTCCTCATGCAGCATGCACTAATGAACAATTCATCTTAAAATACTTGCTTTCGACACACATTTTAGGACAAATTACCACCAGAAACAAATCAATACGAATACATCAGGGATGGAACAATCTCAGTAGTGGGTGACACACATTTTGCAGAATTCTGCCAAACATAAGAACTGAGTAGGCTGTGGGTAAAGCATACTTTCATATTTATATTCTACATTAAAAAAATGCTTTTCATGGTTAATACACAGAGGGAATCTGGAGGTCCTAGGACTTGCTACTACATTTGTATTAAATGCTGGCATTTCCATGGAAACTAACAGACCTGAATTCTTTTTATCTTACAATCCTAGAATTGTTAGGAATCTTAAAGGTCATTTAGTGGGACATGCAAATTTTGAAGAGTAGCTTAGATAGCTAAAGGATGATGAGATCAAGATTCACTAGGCACGCGACTGCGGTGAGCCACTGAGGTCCAGCTGTGCCCGAGGCCTCCTGCCGCCAGCACTGATGTCTGCGAGATCAGGGAGGCAAAGAGTAAACATTGAAGTAAGATCTGGAGGTTGCATACTGGAAAATGAAGGGAGATAGAATTGTCCTTGGAGAGCAGAGGGCCTGGAACAGGACCATGCCTGGGAGCAACCTTTCAGTGTGATCAAACACAAAGGAATTCATTTACTCTCTAACCAAACATTCAGTAGTTGACACTAGCCACAGTTCCTGCCCTCAGAAAGCTCTCCATCTAGTAGAGAGAGAAATATACATGACAATAGAGGGTGATAAGTTTAACAATAGAGGCGGATACTAGTAAGAATATGCTAAAACACGACTGCCCCAAATTCTCTTTCCCAATCTTTTTAAATGCCAAAGATGTTTCTTTTGTGTTCCTTTAAAGACAAAAGTATTTTTCTCTATGGGAGGGCGTGACAAATGACTACACTTTGCCTTCATTTTTTTCCCCTCCACATCCCCTATAATTGCAAAACTATTATTGGGCAGTGAGGACCAAAGGTATTTTATTGCTGTGATATAAAATGGTAACTATGTAAAAGTAGATTTTAAGATGTTTTGGGGATGGGCTGGATTAGAAGAAAAAAATTAAGAAACAGATTGAAGGTGTTCCAGGCTGGTATTAGGACAGGGAGAGGCAGGGAACCAGACAGAATTAATTGGAGAACAGGGGGCGGAAATTTCAACCATGGAAATGGCTGCAATTAGGAAATATCAGGCAGTATAATTTAGGTCTGTTCAATGGAAGATAAGCATTCAAAATGCATTTTTTTTTTTTTACCTCCTGGCTGGTATGTCTCAGTGGTTTCACATTGACCTATAAACCAGGAGGTCATGGTTTGATTCCTGGTTGGGGCACGTGCCCTGATTGTGGGCTCAATCCCCAGTGTGGGGCATACAGGAGGCAGCCGATCAATGATTTTATCTCATCAATGATGTTTTTATCTCTCTCTCCATCTCCCTTCCTTTCTGAAATCAACAACAAAAAATGCATATTTTTTAAAAGTGCATTTTTAATAATTGTTAGATTAGTTAGAAATTAATAATCAAATTGGTATAGTCAGTAGATAAGTTAGTCTGAATGATATCTAATGTTTAAAATTACTAATAACTATAATTTAGTGAGTTGATGCCAATTTCCAATAAAACTTAAATAATAAATAAATAGCTTCAAATAAAATTTAAACTACTGTTTCTTTTTTCACCAAAGATAAATAAGATTACTATTGCAATGGAATCCTAAATCATTTTTTATATAACTTTTCATTCCTAACAATGAGGTTGAGTCTGTGCTACATGGATTTAGTTATGAATACATGTCTTTTTTTTTTATGAATACATGTCTTGATGTTGTAGGCAGTTAGACATGTGAGCAGAGCAAGGACGATGGGCCAGGTACAGGTTATCAGTGTGGAAAGCCCCTAGGTGCCTAGCAACAGACAATCACTTGTAGGGTGGGACCTTGCCCCCGGGGTGACTTTCCTTCTCTAGCCAGTGGCTGGTCACAAGGTTTGGACGACCCTGACCTTTCCTCCCTAGAAATAACATCTAGGCTTCGATTGTATTTCAGCTCCAGGCCCAGATGAGCAACAAAACCAGACACAGCTGAGCACAGCGGACGGCTGACATCAGAATCAGCTGCATGGAATAATGACGCCTTGCCTTGGAGCCCGCCAATCCATCGGTGGAGACTGAAAGGACACAGCCGGAAACTGCTGAATATTCTGTTAAAATCTTGCCCTGGGCTCAACCAGCATGGCTCAATGGGTGAGCACTGACCTATGAACCAGGAGGTCACAGGTTTGATTCCAGATCAGGGACATGCCCAAGTTGCAGGCTGGATCCCAGTGTGGGGTGTGCAGGAGGAAGCCAATCAATGATTCTCTCTCATTGTTGATGTTTCTATCTCTCCCCCTCCCTTCCTCTCTAAAATCAATAAAAAAAAAATCTTTCACTAGGACCTCCCCCAGTCTGGGTCTTGGCTGTGAATTCTTTCCTAGCCAGAACTCAAGTACCGAGGTTGCTGAACCCAAGTTTGGTCTCACCCAGGGGTGAGCAAACTTTTTGATTCGAGAGCCACAATGGGTTCTTAAACTGGACTGGAGGGCCGGAACAAAAGCATGGATGGAGTGTTTGTGTGAACTAATATAAATTCAAAGTAAACATCATTACATAAAAGGGTACAGTCTTTTTTTTTTTTTTTTAGTTTTATTCATTTCAAACAGGCTGGATCCGGCCCGCGGGCCTTAGTTTGACCACAGCTGGGACCCCACCAGTCTAACTCCTGGTGTGGTTGCCGCCGCCTATAACATTATAATTCAGCCCTTTCCACTGAACTGACTGTTTCCTTTTCATTTCTTTCTGCTCCTGATGCAAGACAGGCACACACATTCAAAAAATATTTGTTGAATGATCAAAACCTTGACTAGATATGCACAAACTCAGAATTCATAATTTTGATCTGTTATAGAAATGAATAAAAAATGGATCCCATAAGCCATAATCATTTAGACTCATTACATTTTTTTCTAAGCATCAAAAGCACCCTTTTGCACTTCTGGACATCTTTTTTTTCAATAAAATTGAGATCTAAATTCAGTCTGCTTATTCAGAGTTCAGGCCTAACCTTTAGATTATAGGAGAGTATTGTTTATAATTCAGAATTCACGTCCAGTGACTTTGCAGCCTGACAAGCTAAATGATGGCCTCAGTTCTTTCACTCCTTTCTCTGCTGCAGGAACCAGGCACCTGGATGCCTGGTCCCCGTGGGCAGACTTGTAAGCTTGGACTCTTTTTGTATGCAAAGGATGGCACCTACGACTGCACATATTGAAAATTCAATTGCAGGTGTATTTGCAAATTGGATTTTGAGGGGGAAGTTTAAGCAAATTCTTTTGAAAGTGAATCCCTTCAAGCTGTGAATAATGAAGAAACAAGAAGAGAAATGACAATCAAAAACCTATTAAAATCTAGTTTCCAGAGAAGAACCTGACTGTCTAATGACATTTATGCTTTCCCAGCTCGGCATTTAATAGTCACTGTGTCAGTGGCTTCCTTTATAAATGCCACATGACAAACTTTTTCAGTTCTCTGCATTTCTGAGACTTGAATCTCCGCCC